ATACGGGCGTAACAAAACAATAATTCTGTTAATATTAGGCAAAACAACATGTACTACAACATCATTATTATTAAATTATTAAATCATTTACGATTAATATTACGTATCAGATACGTTGCAAACCTATAGATACGTAGCAAACCAGGCACTTTCTTTGGTAAAATGATCTGAGAAATTATTGTTTTAAAGATTGCCGCTTTTAAACACCTTATAGATAATAACGCACGGGTACCCAAATCTGATTAATTTAGATTTGTGTTAAATATTCAACAAAATACTTTGTTGTATAGTCACAATCTTTGACGCCATAGTCGGTAACATAAAGTTCTTAATTGTTTAAAGTTTTTATAGAAAGTAAGCCAGAACAATTTTCGACCTATACATGTATATTTTATTAGTGCAAAGATAATAGAGAAAAAACACTATTTTTTGCATTAAAATGCATATAGAAGTAAATAGTACGTTAACCAGACCGAAGACACAGTAATCTACTCAAATATACATTTACCTTTTCTTGCAGTATCAGAAGTGAATCCATTAATCAAAAATCCGGGAAGTAACTACAAATAAAAGCGATAAAAGGCGAAATGAATGCGTTATAGAATTAAATTTAAAACAGGTTCAACTAATTCCATTTGTGGCAATAGTTTATGATAGGAGCACCCAGTAACCAGTCTGAGTTTTAATGCCCATTTGTTTAGCATATAAAATATAAGTTTATTTAAATAAATTTCATTATTAAGTGGTTAAGTTAAGCTAAACAAGTATTTTTTCAATATTTGAAGCAAGTAGACATTAGAACACTTATTATTCACTATTATATATGTACGAATGAACTTACAGTTACTCTTTTCGATCCAATATTTGATTTGCTCTCCGTAATTCTTATATCTTGCCCCAATTTTCCGGCTTTGGAATTACTTTTAACAAGACGACGTTTGTTTTTATATGCTTTTCTTGTGTTCATTTTGAAAATGATTAATTTTTAAATATTTCTTTACATATAAACTTCAAATATTAAAAATGGCGTTTATTGAAATTAACTAAATGTCATTTTGAGTATTTTGTCGTTTAAGATTTTATAAGCTGTAATTTGTAATGACCACAGATCACAGAGTATCCTCTGTGATCTGTGGTCATTACAAATGACGTACAGTCGATGACTCAAAATATACAATAGGTATTTCCCAAAGTTCTTCAGAAACTGATCAACTAATATTACATTTCTGTCCCATAAGCATCTAAAACGAAATTCAAATGTGTGGGCGTAAAACGAATTAAGATGCTTGTATATTCTGGTGTTAGTTAGACTCTCAGGAGTCTTAAATTTTTCCCTAATTCACGGCGGTTTGGTAGCCTAAAATCTTCTCTATAGATGTTCTTAGTTAGGTATACCCACACACTGTTATATCCAAAAAAAATTATTGATACATCCAAAAAAAAATATTGTTATATCCAAAAAATAGGTTTTCTGATGGAAGGAAAACGATTTCTAATATTACTTTATAAGATTCGCTGTTCAACCTGCCGTCAATATTCCAACAAACTCCTGGTCCACGACTTAAGCCCACAAGTTTACAGAAAACCTACCGCTGGTCTGATGTGGATATATTTGACTAAATCTTGAATTTGGAGGCTGGCATATTGGAACTTTGCCATTATATGAGGACTGCAATACTTTTTCGTCCCTAAAAATCACAGTGTTCCAAAAATTGTGATCTTTCATCAAAAACTCCATAGCATATGCAACCCTTTTTCTTGCTTATTTTCTTGACTTAATAATTAGTTCGGCGCATCTACACGACATCTCAATTTTCACAAACGGTTTGTTGGGTATTCCGACTCAAAAATTTTTGTCCTTAAAAAATACAGAATTTCCTCACGTCTTTTATTAGAAATTGATAAACAGTGCTTTTATCTCGCAATAAGAACGAATTCTTCATCAAAAGGTAATCAAGAACTATCACCTAGAGCAGGGATGAGCAACACGCAGCCCGTTAAACGTGTCTATGCGGCCCGCCAAGCTATTCAAAAAATTGAATTTATGATGTCAACTTTCTCCTATCAATATATTGTTATAAAATTAATTATAATAAAATAGAAGTACATACTGACCGATAGAATTTTTGACGAGTTACTCACTTGTGGGCGACTTGTTCAAACATGCAATACAAACCAAAATTTCTTAAAACTTTCAAATGTTATTATTTGTACAAATGCACTTATTTACTTCATAATAGCATGTCAGAAAAGCAAACCAAAAAACGGAAGGTTGCGGATGAGCATTTTCAAGAAAAGCGGAAATTTGATTATTTTTTGACTTTCGTCAAAGATAAAGCTGTATGCTTAATATGCTCGCTCAGACACTATGTCGACATTAAAAAAATATAGCATAAAAAAGCATTACGGTACAAAACATGAACAACGATATACAGTTTTGTAAATTATTAATGAGTACTCTATACGCGGCCCGCCAAAAAAAATTAAATTTAAATTGGCCCGTTGATTAAAAAGGTTGCTCACGGCTGACCTAGAGGGTATCCTGCAACACATTTAGGCCCAAGCTGTTTTTGGAAAAAATGCGGTTTTCGAATCATTTTTGCTAAATTAAGTTGGCAATTTTCCCAAAAGAAAACCATCCACGCGATCTTAGTTCACTTTGAAACACCTCTCACCACGCTTAAACTGCAAGAGCGAAAAACAATTTTATAGGCTTAAAGGGCCAAATATTTGTCGGCGAATTCCCCTTTTGTGGGAGATAGCGACTTAAAATGATAATAAAACAAAAACGGTTATCCAAAAAAACAAAAATTAAAAAATGATTCGGAACTAACTACTTAAAACGCAAATGCGTACAATAGGTGTAAGAAAAAAAAAACAGTTTGTTAGACAACGTGAACATCATGGCGTCTTTGGTTTTCTTTTGGAAAAGTACTCAAAAGCGGCGAAAAACACGCCTTTCCAGGAAATACTACTAAGAAATTATTTTTACACGCACATTTATACCTTCGAACGCGAGAGGGGTTGAAGGACTTCTAGACAATTGGGCGCTGGCGGCAGGAACAGTCAATACCTTTTTAATGATTTTGCAAATGAATACTCAATTGAGCTGTGTTTCTTGCCAAATGTCTTAGCTTTTAGAATTGCTATCACACAGCGGTAAGATAATATTCATTATTATTTTCAGGAACATAAATTGTCAGAACCAACAAAAGAGCTGAAAGTTTCTTAGTTACTTTATATTATAAATTGTTTAATATAAAACTTATGCTGGTAAGAGACCAATAATAAGAAATAAGGCGTGTGATGCGATAATAAAATGGAATACTGCATAGTACAAGAGATGCTCATATAATGTTTTATCTAGTGATCAGTTTCCAGCTAATTAATAGTGCTTCTGCGTGTGCGCTTAAAATTGATATTGATACAAAAACGACTTCGAAATACTTGTAAGATATAAAGCTAGACCATTGAACCGTAAAATAACATTAGAGGTCCTATTTGCAGCTTTATGTAAATTAAATATACAGGGTGTCCTGTAAACTCATGATCAAAAAGGTACTGCGATATTCGTTGGACCAAAAGAAGACGATCTGACCTAACTTTTATTAACAAAAAAATGTCTCGCTCCTCTGCTATTGATGGTCAAAATTCTTCAAAAAATTTATCTTTTTTGAAATATCGGGAGAATGGTACGATGTATTTTCGTGAAACTTGCTGGGAATTTGTTCTTATGTAGGACTTATATTTTGATGAATCCATCGAGTTCAGCCGTTTTAGACAAGTGGTGAATTCTTGAGTGTCGTGGTACAAAAACTACCAGCACTTTTTAATTGGAGAATGAAATCAATTCATTTTTTTTTAGGTTGATGCACTAATCATGTATTCACAATTTTGTGCTGTTTGTAAAATCTTGTAGCATTCATAGTTTTGCGAAAAAAAAAATTTCATCAAAATCATCATATCAAAATAGTGCATCAACCTAAAAAAATGAGTTGATTTTATCGTCCAACTAAAAAGTTCTGGTAAGTTTTGTACCACGACACTCAAGAATTCACCACTTGTCCAAAACGGCTGAACTCGATTGTTTCATCAAAATATGAGTCTTACATAAGAACAAATTGACAGCGAGTTTCACTAAAATACATCGTACCATTCTCCCGATATTTCGAAAAAGATAAATTTTTTTGAAGAACTTTGACGATCAATAGCAGAGGAGCCAGACATTTTTTGTTAATAAAAGTTAGGTCAGATCGTCTTCTTTTGGTCCAAAGAATATCGCAGTACCGTTTTGATCATGAGCTTACGGGACACCCGTATTATCAAAAGAAATTACCAGGTCTTTTGCGGTCGCTTGCTTTTGAATTGTTAGCAACAAACAACGAAGACCACTATGCCTGTGTCATCAATCTAGCATCTGAAGAATAAGGCCTAAGGTAAAAAATTTGGAGACTATCTTATGCCTTAAGTGTATGCGTGATTCCTTAGTCTTGGCGTATAAACTGTACTACATTTTATGCCATTGACTAAGAGAAAAACCATCATCATAAGCAGCATTATAATTTGACTGATATTTGTATAAGTATGTAATTGTATAATATATGTAAATATAACTACCTGCTATATCCTTTACCTTCTCCAAATATCCAAATTCTAGGATATATTATGTAGTTTACACTTTACGAAACTGACCACATAGTGTATTTACGTGAAAATTGCGCCAAAACACAACAAAAATAATAAATAATCAAATTGGTTATATTGTAGGTTTGCATTGAGTCTCTTCGTCTCTCTATATTCACATCCTAACTACAACTAACTTCAACAGAACATTATAGTAGAGCCGAAAACATTAGCCAAAAATGACGAATAAATAAAAGAGGCGTCAAGGGTACCAGACCAAGAAAGCCAGAATAAAACTTAAAAACTCATGTTTGCATCTTTTTGACAATTTAATTTAATATTCTATATTTTTACTAATACCATCAAAATGAACATCTGTCAATCATTTCGACACGATTCTACACCCACTTGACAACGCTGCAGCAAGATCATAACATACATTTTGTTAAAATACATTTTCCATTAATTTATGAAGCAATAAAAAATGCAAGCTGTTTTTAGGTCAACTATTAATCACCTGCCGAGCCGGTTGTTCCTGAAAAATGGAGCAGCCCTACTTCACACCAGGTATCAGAAAATTGTTCTATAACATATAAGGTGTTATGTAATTTTTTTTAGCCTAAATAGACCTAAAACAGCTATTCAGTTTGTTTACAATAATTAGGAATTCATTCGTTTCATATGTAGTCCAGTTTCAATGCCTGTTACTACGTTACTAAGCCCGCATAGATTATAAATATCTTCAAATGTATATGATCAAATATGAGGTATCAATTAACTCCAACAACCTGAAAGTTCAAACTGCTCATAATTGATCAACAAAAATCATATTGGCATATATTCTATTTTAGATCTGCCACCCTACATTAACGCCGTTGTAGAAAAGTAGTATGCATTTCTTGCTAATTAGCTCTATTTAGAAGCATTCGAAGTCAACGAGTTTTCTAAATCTATACAATGGCTAGGTTGTTGAATTCTAGTCTTATCCTCCTATTTATGTCTACTTTTACATTAAGTAAACCGGCATTTTAGGCTACCATTTACCAAAAGGCGGCCTCTTTAACTGACCTCGACAACATAAAACACAAAATAAGTAATCAGAAAATTGTAATGTCCTAATCAAATAATCAGGCCTGTTTTAGACTTTAGAATTTGCAGTAAAAAAACAAAAAATTGTTGAAAATAATAGCAAAACGAGGTGACTTACATATAAATTATATGCTTATACAGGGTGTCAAAAAAAAGATGGTGAGCTCCTATGAAAATTCGTAAGATCTTCCCTAGCAAGATATTGGTACCTGACTGACGCACCTTGGCATCTGATATAATTTGATAATTTTGTAATTTGATGCATACTAGTTAAGGCACCGTAAAATAGTGTGTGAAACGAATTTTGTTTGAATGCGCCAGGAACCGACAAGCTTGTCACGTTAATGCAAAAATTTTAAGCACTCTGTACGATGGCAAAAACCCAATTTTGAATAAAATAATAAAATTAACTATTGTACTTAGCTCCTATAGAAAAATTTAAATAAAAACATTTGTTTAATCTGAGGGTGGAACAACGTTTAGACCTTTATTAGTTGATAAACTCAAGCAAAACACCGTGTGCTAATCGCTCTTTACAATTATTTTATATTGTGATATCGATGGGTCATTTGTACAAAAAAACACATATTATTTGGTGTACAGTGGCAATCCTTTTTTGGAAATCATCAATCGATATGAAGCTCTGTTTATGACAAAATTATCCTAAAAAGCCGAACCTGCAATCCTAATTCGCATGGGATGGCTTTGAATCGCATTGCCTGCAAAATGATGCTCTGAACGTAGCTTTCTGGCAACTTGTTTATTAATTATTTCATGTTCAAAGTAACAAGTTTGAATTTTTAAAAAGGAAATTAAAAAATTTTATGAGATATAATCAGTTTCTTAAAGTTTTTTTGCAATGTTTTTTTGCGGGAGAAAATGGTTTTGTTGCGGGTAGTCGCCGATTGAGGCATTGCTTGAGAACATTGTCAATTTTCTGGAAAAGCATTTAGTGGATTGCAAGTCTGTTGTAATATTCGATTTTTGGGACGATTCTAGCAGAAAATTATCTTTTTTGAAACGCAAACCTGAATACATTTTCTTGGACAAATTAATGCTAATATTTTGATTGTATTACTTATAACATTTAATACTCGGTTAATGATTTCATAAAAAATTACAGTTCTCAAACCAACGCAAAATGGTACCCGGACGCAGAATACTTTGAACAGTTTAAAGGTCCAGTAATGTATCCAGATGAAACAACCAAACATTGGGCTCTGCCGGGTTGGCATAATGAGAAAGCTCCAGTTGAAAAGGAGGTGAAAAATGTTACTATTAATTTTGGGCCCCAACATCCAGCTGCTCACGGTGTACTCCGACTTGTTTTGGAATTAGATGGAGAAGTGAGTTAATGATAACAGAATAATATAATATTATGGAAGGTTTACAATATAATTATATATTATTATATTTTTCCTGCATCACACAATGACGTTTAAAAATATCACTAATAATTTCAGGGCAAATATACAAAATGTGTTGTTTTTCGAAAAGATTGGATTGATTTTGACAAGATATTTACTAAAATTATAATGAAATATGTTTTCCAAACTACATAGTTACAATTTTATCAAAACGGTCAATTCAAGAAAAGTTTTAGCGTATTGATTTAAACTGTAAAGTTTCGAAAATTTAATTGTACAAGACAAATAAATATAAAAAAAACGATGGATTTGAAAGAGAAAGAACACACAAAATTTTAGCTTTCTCATTGGTTTGGTATTACTTATCAACAGATTGCCAAAATATGTCCTGATTTTAGCATATCTTAATGAATATGGGAATTATTTGATCACTTGTTATTTAAATCGGTTTAAAGCGCATTAGATAGAGCAAGCCGTAAACGTGCTCGAGCAAGCCGTAAACGTGCTCGAGCAAACCATTTTCAATACTAACCGTGACTATTAGTTAAAGTTTTTTCTAATAGAAAACGAAGTATGGATCCTTCGGATATTTCAATTATTTAATGCCTCATTTATTAGGGCTAATATGCTGCTTAAAACAAATATTATTTTTTGGGGCATTTTTTAAAGGAATCGGATAGCTTTATATTGTTTTGTATGTTTAATCCTAAACATACTTTATTTGTAATGCTCTGTACTTCAAAATCTTCAGATCCAAAGTTTACTTCAATTAATAAAAAGCTTCCTGTTTGTATACACACAGAAAATGTCTGTATAAATACCATTCTTGCTAACATAAGGTGAAGGAGTAGCCAACTAACATAAGGATACTTTGAACATTAAAATCAATAATGAGCTAGATTTTAAATGTTTTTCCTCACTCAATTTACATCTGTAAATAGCCCCAAATTCGTTGAAGATAAGTATAGCTGCCGTAATGTCTCGCGCTATTCAAAATATATCAGCAATACCTATTATACATTTAACTTAAGTTGATTTTTACTTTACTTTTCCTTTAAATCCAATTATTTCAGCATTTCATATAATCTTACAGTTCTTAAGACCCTTGGCTCTATATCTGATATTATATTTGTTTAACATTTTTTTATTAATCGTGTGAGCGCTCAAAATTTATCACTGATTGAATATTATAAACTAATACAATAAAAAAAACTCAATTGGGTTAAAAGTAAATAAACCTTGGTATCATCACCGACTTACAGAATATTTTGCTACTGAGGTTTTCACACTTATGACCTATAGATATTAATAACTGTACTGCATCTGAATAATATTTGAATTTTGCTGATGTGTCTGAGTTTCCAGATTGTTAGAAGATCTGATCCCCATATCGGATTGTTGCACCGTGGAACTGAAAAGTTAATTGAATATAAAACCTATACTCAGGCTTTGCCCTACTTTGACCGATTGGACTACGTGTCCATGATGTGCAATGAACAGTGTTTCAGTTTGGCTGTTGAGAAACTTCTTAACATTGATGTTCCAATTCGTGCTAAATATATCAGAGGTAATATATTTGCGGTTTTTATCGGCGCAAATAGACAGGATATTCCTTCAGTTCTTAAATTACTTTTACATCGTGTCATTACTTATCAATTGAATTTTTAGTTTTATTTGCCGAACTCACAAGAATCCTAAATCACATCATGGGAATATGTACGCACGCTTTGGACATTGGTGCGCTTACCCCATTCTTTTGGCTTTTTGAAGAGCGTGAAAAAATGATGGAGTTCTATGAACGTGTATCAGGAGCCCGCATGCACGCTGCATATGTTCGTCCTGGCGGTGTAGCGCTGGTAAGTTAAAATACAGCGAAAAAAAAATGTTAACTTAATTATGGAAATTAATATGGAAGGTGATTACACATTCTCATTCATTCATTCTACTGGAGATTATCCTAGGGGGTACAGAAAAATGGTTTAAAAAATAATTCTCCCAAACAACTGCAATTAACTGATTATCATAAATTCCACAACATTGATTTACATTGCACGTGAAAATTACGTTTTTTTTTATTAACATTACATAAACCTATTGCTTATAAGAATGTTTGCCCTTCATATTACGGCTTGATGTCAAAAGAACGTTTTCTCGGGAAAAAGTTATAAAAAAATAGAACGGTAGAGATGTAACCCGTCTTCAACAATTTATGATACGGGGTTACTTCGAAAGTTCGAGATCAAAGACAATCTAGGCGAAACGTTTAAATGGTTTTGCATGTCTGGGTTAGTGCTTGTTTCTATTAAACTTCCTTCTTCCACAATTTTCATTGTGTTTACTGTTCACAAACAATTTTATTTATTGCAAGAGATCACGATATGATCGATTGAGTCTCCACAACGACGGTAAACTTTATCAATGTTGGAAATTGTTTCAAAACATTTTAAGTCTTCAAGAGATCAATTTAAAACTGTTACAAACTGTTGAATGTGCATCTCCAAGAGCTAATGTATTAAAGAAGTAAACTACAAACGGTTGCTTAACTTTTCCGTAGTAAGCTTCAGAATCATTTAAAAGAAATTAGTTCAATTTTAAGTCACGCTGGTATATTTTTATAGAGAAATTTCATTTTTTCCAAAACTAGAATAAACAATTATTAAGCACTAAGAGAAATATACAGTTTTGAAATCAAATTTGCACCGACATGTTTCCAGTAGAATTTCGAATTTTTTTCAGGATATGCCGTTGGGGCTAATGGACGATATTTTTGAATTTGCTTCGAAGTTCAATGAACGGTTAGATGAGGTAGAAGACCTACTAACTTCCAATAGATTATGGGTGCAAAGAACCGAAGATATTGGCATCGTGACTGCTGAAGATGCGTTAAATTATGGCTTCAGGTATGCAAGACACATTGTTTGTAAAAAAAAGTTGTGGTAATTTTTTAGTGGAGTGATGCTAAGGGGATCTGGCATCAAGTGGGATTTGCGTAAAACGCAGCCATATGATGCTTATGATAAGGTAGAATTCGACATCCCTATTGGAACCAAAGGTGATTGCTACGATCGGTATCTTTGCCGTTTGGAGGAAATGCGTCAGTCGCTAAGAATCATTCATCAATGCCTGAATCAGATGCCACCTGGTGAAATAAAGACCGACGATGCGAAGGTTTCACCACCAAGTCGAGGGGAAATGAAGGTAATCTATTCGGCCATTAGTAGATGTTATTTGTTACTAACTCTTTCGCAGACATCTATGGAGGCATTAATTCACCACTTCAAGCTGTTCACCCAAGGTTACCAAGTCCCACCTGGAAGCACCTACACTGCTGTAGAAGCTCCTAAAGGTGAATTTGGAGTTTACTTGGTATCTGATGGAACCTCTAAACCATATAGGTATGTACAAACAGTTTATATGTGGCTCGGTCTGAAGTTTAAACCTAATACTGAAATAGTCAGAGATAATAGAAAATCGCAAGCACTTTGAAGACTAAATTTGTTTGTTCCAGGTGCAAAATTAAGGCTCCGGGATTTGCGCATTTAGCAGCGTTGGACAAAGTTGGTAAAAACCATATGTTGGCCGACATTGTGGCCATTATAGGAACCTTAGATATCGTATTTGGTGAAGTCGATCGATAAACGCAACGTATGATTTTCAAATAATATTCAATTATCGCAAAATATAATAATTATGTTATCGGTAATCATTAAATAATTTATTACGTTCATTGAGTTGTATATAAGAATAGCTTACGACACAAATATGAAATTCATTTTATTGAACCTCCCCATGCAGTTTGTCATTAGACAACCAGAGTTTGATCCAATTAAACAGTTGACGAAATAAAAATACCTTTTATTTCCCTCCTACATTCTAAATGACGAAATTAATGTATGAATAAATAGTTTTTTTTTCGCTGAGAAATAAAAAATAAGTGTTCTAATCCTCAAATTAAAGGTTCGTGACTTAAAAAGTCAGTTGTGGTATTATTCGATAATTTAAACAAAACATTCACACGTAAAATATCAATATCCCTACCAAACAATACATTCATGCAACATGAAGTATAATGAAATAGTTATAGATCAGTTTCAATAGCCAATTATTGTTCAAGGTGTATTTTATCACTTTTCTGGAGACTTTAAAACGATTGAGTTTATTTATGTTCCCGGCGAAATGAATTTTTCATTTATAGTTGCCCTGACACTTTATCTACCAATATCAAACGTAAGTAAATTGCTTTTTATGCATAAAAATAAGGTATGCAGTTCAGATCAATTGGAATAAAATAATATGAGGTATTCTTTAGTGGATTGTCACCGCGTATTCAATTTTAGGGTTTTCTAACAGTTCCAAAATGCCTGATATCTACTGGAGCCAGAATAAAAGATTTGCACAATTTAGCTACCGGAGATAGTTTACCAGAAAGTTCAAGATGTTTTGTTAAATGCGTCGGCGAAGAATCAGGGTTGATTCTTGATGGGACCTTACATTCCGAGCACTTCGAAGCCCTTCCAATGGTGTCACGGTTAAAGGCCGACGTTTTCGTCGATGCTAGAAGGTGCATTGAAAGCGTCCAGGGTTTAAAAATCGAATCATGCAAAGATATAGACAACCTAAATGATTGTATGAAAATAGTATACCGGCAAAAATATTCAGACTCAAAATAACTTTTCCAATAACGAAGGTTTACTCATAGTTATGTTTAATTGGGAGCATTAAAAACATATTAAAATTATAAATGTTTGTTTTAATCCTGAATGCAGGTCTGTTCCACTAAAGTGACCAACTGATAACCCGATTGTGCTGGCTATATTAGCAATATCTTTTTTGTTAAAATAATAACATTAATTTAGGGCCATCTCGGGAAGAATGAATTGATGAACTTGTTATAATTCAAAATAATTTATTTTAGTATTTACATTTTAATTATACCTGGTAAAACCGCATAGATTCCGGATTTAACAATCATCATCTGTAGATGTATCAGATTTATTTTTGTGCTTTTTTGAGATTTTTCTCTTCCACTTCTTTTGATTTTTATGATTCTGATGAGCGCTGCTCTCGTTTTCATCACTAGATAGGACAATTACACAACTTGATTTATTTTTTGCATTTCTTGTGGCAGACTTGCCTGACTTCCTCATAGAAGAAGGCTCTTTCATGTTGACAATTTCCAAGTCATCTAAATCAGTATCGGTAGAAATACCGTCCAATATCTGAAGAGTTTTCTTATAAGATTGCACTTGGGATTGATCTGTACTAGCTGCATCTTCCACTTCTGATCCAAAACTTAACTTGTGCGGTTCCCATTTTCGTTTCGTTGATTCTTTTTGGGATCTCTTATTGCCTTTCGGCCTGATACATTTATCTTTCGTTTCTAAAACGAGTCGTCGTTCAAACGCGTAATCAACTAGGGGCATTTTATTTGATGATGATTTATAAACAGGAACCCTATATTTGCGTGTTTTTTCATCTTTCAAATAGTCACTCCTAAATGTATCTACTCCTTTATCGATTCTAAAAAGGGAAATAACTTTTGTTGAGCAATTTCTTCAATTACGTAGCATGGAATACAAAGTGATATTCACATTTTAGAAGTTTTTGAAAAAATGTTTGATCGTGCCGACTTTCATTGTCTTAGAAAGATGTCTTTTAAACACAACGTTTTATTTTCTACTGGTGAGAATCTTAATGCTACTTGGGGCGAGGAGATTTAAGCATGTGTGACTTCCTGTCGTGTTGTTGTGTACCAGCGATTTTAATTTATTAAATTTTGATAGACACCTCGCTTAGTTTTACCAATGCATAACACACCTCGACCTCAGTAAATTTAAGAAATGGAAACGTTGAGCAAGTTTGAAGAATCATATACTTTTCTGATACAATTAGTTAGAAACTAATTTACAGCCAAAACCTACAAAATCAAGGTAGATAAACATATATAAGAATATCTGTTTATTTTATAATTAGAATGCAAAGAAGCCTCAGCCGACCTTAATGAATTATTGAACTTGTTTCTAACAAAACTAGTCATCTTCCGAATCAATTACAATTAATACCGTGATTCGAGAGACACGTACATTCGGGGCAACCCGTTAATTTATTGCATGATAAAGTAACTAGGAAGTAGTTTGGCAATTTTGAAACTTTTTTCATATGAATCAATTAAAGACAAACTTTTTTTAGTCGAGTCTTAATGCATTTTCTAGATTGAAAATATATCATCTATACAATATTATATGATAGAATAAATTGTTATAAATTATAAAGTTTTCAAATGTTGAAGACAAAGCAATAGCTGTAGAAGCATCGCTATAAACCATTCAATGAAATATTACGTCATTTTGTGAATGAGAAAATGTTAGTGTTTTATTTTAATAATTTTTATGAAATGATTAGTTTAGGTGAAAAAATGTACGTTAAAGTCCCCATCTGCATACTTATAGCTCTCGATTTTGTTTGGGTTATATAAATGACGCTCGAAACGTTGTGATTAAAATACACAGATGCAAAACAATAGAAGTCCAAATAAACTATTTGATTTTATTATCGTTCAAATCTTAATTATCTTTTTGATTATACAGGGATATTCAATGTTTAATAGAAAATATAAAAGATCTAAAAGAACTCGAAAAACATCACTAGAAAATTTTGGTTTTGCCAGAGAGTGTGTTGTAAGTGTAGTTTTTTTAAATATTTTCATCAAAATTTAACATAAATTTACAACGCCTCAAACGACAAAATTCTGGCAAGACACCGGAGCGTAAAGTTGGCACGAAAAACTCAATAAAAGTTCAAATTTCAGCATCATGTATCACGAAAACGAAGCATTTCCTGCATTTGCATATGTGAACTTTTTTCTTATTTTTGTGAGTTATGTCGCGATTAAAGAAACTGAATCACCCTGTATATTAATGTCAGTGATCTGAGTCAATTAGAGAGAAAGAGGGGAGTTAATAAAATATTAAAATATATATTGAAATTGTTCAGTAATATTTTGATAGATTTGAGTAAGAACAAACCTGTTGTTAGTTGAAACTAAACTGTTCACAGTTCGTTGGAAGAAATTTAAATTTGGTTTTAGCCGGGGTATAATCAGTTTCCCTTGTCGTCTTTCGCTGTCCTTGATCAATTCCTTAATAACATCACTAGAATATGAAACACACTTATATTGCCCTTTGTTGCATTTTAATTCAAATAAGAACATACAGAATTAATTCAATTCATAGGTATTCATTCATTTAATCAATACATAGGTAGTCTACATTGCTTTAGTTCGTCTTATCCTTTTGTCTAATAACCCCAAACAAGAACAATTTCTGTTGCTGTTAAAAATTAAATGTCTGCATATAAATTTGTGAAAACAATTAGTTTAGCCGTTCATATTGCTTGAAAAGTGTACCCAAAAAAAGTGAATGATGAGACCTGTTCCCTTAGTACCTCTATTTTCCTTTCAAATTAAATTGTAATCTTTTAATGTATAATATCTTTAAGGAGAATGCTTACCAGTAGAATTTCTAGTTTATCACTTAATTTCAGCAAATGATAGATTTTCTAGATCACAAACTGGGTCCTAATATTACTTGAACTCTAAAGATTAACTCGAAGTTTCTCTTACTCGGGGTTAGAGAAACTGTAACGGGTAATTTCTATAATATTTACGGCAATTGGTTTTGTTCTGCAGCATTTTTAAATTGTAGCAGTTCCTACAGTTTCATCAATTTCGCAGACAATACTTACTCATCAGATATTAGCGATTTGTAGTGCTCCGACATTATATCTGCGGGTATTTATCGCAAATTCTTACATCAGATAATACGTTTTTGCATTTAATGCAACACATTTCCAACAACAGTCATCCAATCAATTGTTAATATTGCCACAGTTTTCTAACCACACCTTCAGTTATTTACATTTTCTGTCAATTACATGTCAAAACAAGCATGGTCAAATCTTCAGAACGATATCGATAACTGTATAAGGATGTTCTAAACGTATTTGGTTATATCTCTAAACTAGAATGGTTTGGGTACACTGGCTTTATAGAAGTATAAAGTATAAGTATACAGTATAACTAAAGTAAAAGTATAAGTATTATACAAGTACTTGTATAACTGGAAGTTTGGGAACCTCTGCTCTAGATATACAGGGTGTTTCAGAATTGAAGTGACAAAAGTTCATATGATTGGACTTGCGGTATGGGCTATGTTTTATGGGCTACGTTTTTCAGATACGGGGTGCGAACAAAAGTGTATGAAAATTAATATTTTCTTAAGAGCTTTTTAAACAATTTGAATAAAATTATTGGTGAACGTGTCGTTCGAGTCCCACCGAGCTTTTAGCTTTTTCTTGTTTTACCTTAAAGGACATTTTATATTTCAACCGTTTCAACGAAAAAATCCGGGATGGTCAATACATTAAGCCCCAAAAAACACTTCAACAAACGTTTCAATTTCGCTTTCCCAAAACCACTTATTTATGCACGAAAGTGAAATTATCCGTTGCTATTTGCTGCTAAATCGTGATCGTGTTTAAAGTATCAATAAAGCATAACTCCACATGCAAAATTGTCGCTAGGACGAGTACTTTTTCCCCAAAAGTTAGA